TGTAAAGAGATTACTGAGATATTTGAGAGGCACGTCTGAATTGGGACTGACATTCAGAGGAAACTCAGATCATTTAGATGCAATGACAGATGCAAGTTTCAGAGATCATCTCGATTCAACGTCCACGGGAGGCTACGTGATTCGCCTGTTCGGCGATCCTGTATCGTGGCGAAGTTACAAACAGTCGTACGTGACTTTGTCAACTTGCCAGTCAGAGTATCTTGCCATGAGCAACGCTTGTCAAGAAATCATTTCACTGGACAAAGCAATCAGAGATATAGTGGGAAAGACGTTCTACCCAGTGCAAATATGGTGTGACAATAAGGCAGCAGGTGATTGCACAGAAAAAGATGGCAGCCATAAGCTAAAGAACTTCGATGAACCCGTAAATCAAATTAAAGAGTACTTAGAGGAAAGAGAAAGATCTGGGGTCAAGAAGCATATGGCAGATACTCACGGGGATTACATAAAGTCATGTGTTTCAGAAGGCAAATTCAACATCAGTTGGATTGCAACTAAAGAGAACTTAGCAGATATAATGACTAAAGCGCTTGCCAGAGAAGCACACGAATATTTAAGAAATAAAATACTAGAACTTTAAGAGGAATACAAATAATTCAGAGAATAAACTAATGATTAGTATTTGTTTCTATTTGTTACAGAGTAATTCTCAAGACGAATCTCAGAAGAGAAAAGGGTATATACAGAGTCGAGTTCAGATGACCCACAATCAAGACTGTTCAGAGGAAACCAGTTACCAAAGCGAATACCTAAGTTACCTAAGAGATATTCTGGTTAAGGTGTTGTATATTGAGCCACAGAGTTTTGGCTTGACATAGAGACTGAAACTAGTGGTTAAGATATCGTTTATTATAAGACCATAAGTATTATGAGAAATGTAACTTAGAAATATATATTTTGAGTTTGAAAAGAGAGGGAGTGTTAGAATAGAGCTTTCCTAAACCAAAATAAGTGTGCGTGAGAGGGGGAGGGGGGCTCTGCGAGCTCGAATAGGACCCTGATTGCGTAAGAGGGTACCCATGTGGTGGGGACACTAGAGAATGGTGCAGCCGGGCTTCGTTTTGGGAGACCGTTGCGTCATAGCGGCTGAAGCGGTACGCTTTCGATAATGCACGCGCGTTTGGCCCGCGCGCCGAGCCCGACGCGCGCCCGCCATGTGACGAGAGTGGTGCGCGGCGCCGCCGCTAGGCGCCGCAGGCGCCACCACAAATCTCGTAAGGG